TATTAATCATCGTATGTGTTAATAGTGGTTAAGGAATGGAGAATCAACGTATTAATGGTTAGATATCAATCCACTCTATATCTGAAGACGAGGGTTATTGTAAGTCTATTCAGGGCATCACTTGCCACTGATTGAAGGTCTGCTAAGAAGAAAAAGAACATTATGAATAGATTGAGGAGCGAAACACGATTTGGGAGTAATGTTGAAGCTGACATACCTTAGATTGTCTGTTGGTAGTGGAAGGATATACAAAGACCAAACTTCCTTAGATGGAGAAGAAGAGTAAGTATTTAGTTTACAAGTTTCTAACGATTAGTTTTCACAAGCCTTATTTTTTTTTTCAACTGACCTACAATCGTAGATATGTGAATTCTAACATTTTTTAATTTTATTTATTTATGTATTTATTTATTTATTTATTTATTTTTTATTATTATTATTATTATTATTATTATTATTATTATTATTATTATTATTATTATTATTATTATTTGCATTTCAGCAGATGTGAAAGTGGTTATGATATTAAAATAGAACATTTGAAACAATTAAATTGAAAAGGTCAATTATGGTTAAAGGTGTGGACTTTACACATGTGAACTCCTAAACATTAGAAACTAAATAGTTTTAAAATTAAATCGTCTTGGATTCAATAACATCATGACCAATATTTTATTTTCCATGTTTTCTTATCAACATGTATTTTATTTTTTATGTTCCTTTCCACACATGTCTGCAATTTGTTTTTGTTGTCTATTCTAAATTTGTGATCTAATGCAAAATGCTTATCAATAGTTGTTGGCTGCAAAGAATTAATGACAAAATTATGGAGATGGAGGTACCATAACAAGAGTACAATACATGGTCTCAAAGGCATGAGAAACCATGCTTGACAACATATAATTGCAAACAGAGTATCTATGTCTATTTGGATTTTCATATCAGTAATGATGAGATGCACTTAGTCAAATGATAAATAAAGTACTTAGAGCAATGGTTAGCAAAACAAAGAGCTCAGGTAAACACTTAATAAGCAATAACATCAACGAACTACTAATATTATCAAATCACTCTTTTTGATTCTTCTTTAGTGGAATAATATGGTAAATGTGTTATTTTGTTCAGACCAAGTATTTTTTTTACTTCTTTTTTTGTTGGGAGTTGTAAGTTTTAATCATATATAATTTATTTCGTAGTAATTTGCATGGAAAGCCAATGGAAACACCCGTTATGGCTATAATATATCAATTGAAAAGTTTGAAATCATTGTGACATGTGAGCACATTATTAAATTTTAATTTATTTTCGTTGTCTTTTCTAGTTACTAAATCTATAGTAATAAACATGTGCAGAGTTGAAACTAACATTCATTATATTTGCAGTTGTAATTTTTGATTTATGTTTTAATTGAATTGGGGATTTAATTCAAATTACAAATGACCACATCAACCCTCTCTGCAATTAGTAACTGCACTTCACGTCTATTTTGTTTTATAGAGTTACGGTTACCAATTTTGGTTTATATTGATTTCGGTTTTTAAATCCCCTGTTCACAATGTAGGTGGTTTATGTTCAGTACTTCACCATAGGTAATAACTAAAAATCTTTTTTTTTATTAAGTGTGGAGTTTATTCAGCTGTGATTACTTTGGATATTTGATTTTGATTGTGATTTTGTAGTTCCAAGAGAATATAATAGATGCAGACATAAGGATCAGAAGCCCAAGAAAAAAACTCTTTTGAGACAATTATTATAACCATAAGTCTCTTTTAAACAATTTTACTGTGAAAATACATCTAAAGCTTCATGAGTTGACAATGAATAATGTGATATTGAAAATTATAGTATGAAATAGAAGTTCAGGGAGTAATGATTTGATCTGGTTATATAAAAGAGATTTGTTGCACCATCAGGAATCAATGATGAAGGGGCTGTAGTTCTATTCGGAAAGTGTTTATACAACCTTTCCTTTCTCCTAAAAGTACTTAATATTTCAAAAGTAAACTCTGCCCGTCTCTCCTTCAGCCTTCCATTCTATTTTCTGGCAACAAAATTTTGTTTCCTTAGATTTTAGCTCCTTTGAAAACATTCTATAAACGAAACAACCCTTATAACGCACCTTTCTTATTTGTTAAGAATAACAATGCCAGTTAATGTATGCATCAGTTTACTTGCAGAGAATCAACCTAAAAGAAATCATCAGCTATCAATGGCTCCTCAAGAACTTGCCTCTGTAAGTTGTAAGTTACAGAAACAACCCAATATGGTAAGAATTAAACTTTTATACATTTAATTTCAAAAATTGTATACATGTTTCATTGGCTTGCAATAAAAATTATTAAACAAAGGGAGTAAAACATTATGAAACCTTGGAATTTGGACCAAATGTGATCCTTTCTTTATGATTTTTGGTCCATATTCCAAGGAAAAATGACTGTTATTGGGACCAAAATCGTAAATATCAGATGTACGCAAGGACAAAAAAATGTCATTTTACTTGGAACAAACACAATTACAACAAATAGCAATGTACTTTCAATTATTTTCATTAAATGAAATTTAATAAAAAAAATCAACCCAACAAATGAATTCCAGGTTATAGTGTGTTTTGAATGGCAATAAAAAAATTTAAGACACATTGTTCAGTTTTCTTTCCTATTATGTTTCAATTTCCCTTTTTTTTTGAAATTTAGATTGCATGATTATAGGTTCATAAACACTATTTTTCCCTTTTGGTGATCAAGGCTTCATGAAGTAAGTTTATGATCACGATGACCTTAACTGAAAAGTCATTTCATCTTTTTCTCTCATTCTTAGCCATTTGCTTCCGATTGTTAACCACCATTGGTCACGTTAGATCTATCAAATCCATGACCCGCTACTCATTACTATATGTTTAGTTAGGATATGTCATATTCATATTTTATATAACTAACTTTCTATAACTTTTAGGCTATTCTTTTCTCGATTTTATGTTTTAGTTGATTCCAGATGTGTACTCACACAATTACTTTTGGATTCTTTTATTGTGCACATCCTTTTAATTAGTGTTTTTGTACATATAAACCCAGGGATCAAATTTAATATAAAGGAGTGTTGTACAACTAAATTCAGTGGTTTGCATTAGATTTATGGAAGCTACAAAGTACATGTATGTTGTTTTGGAAAACATCTTCAATCTCCTCTTAAACACTAAATAAGGTACCATTATTTGCTTTCTACATATTCATTTTTGTTTTAACTAGTTATAGGGGTTTATAATGTGAAAATGTTTTATTGACTTCTATTCTAATGTAATTTTGATGTTTGTACACATTATTTTATAGGAATGTTTTTTTTGTCGCATTTATACACTGATTCATGCCGATAAAAAATTTGACAACTTTAAAGAAACCAGTAAGTTCCACCTACAACTTCTCCACCTCGTCCTCTTTTTTGTGTATTCTGATGATTTGTATTGTGTTTTTTTTACAGAGCTTCAATATTGTTCCTAGATGTTTCTTCCCTTTTTGGAACTTCTTCAAGCGACTGGAGTTCGGAACCACCCACCTCAACACAAAATCAAATGTAATATTGATACATCTCCATCTGAATTTGTTCGTATGAATCTTGATCTTCATTTCCACACTTCCTGGTTTCTGTTAGATGTTGGTTACTTCCACTAAAGGTTTTGTAATAAAAATAAAAAATTACATCCCATTGTATGCAAATTATCCAATATGGACGATTTTGCACCTAATGATGTTTTCCCATGACATAAAACTGTTGCCTGAGTTTGTACCGTTGCTGACCGACTTTAATAAGAATTTTTAGAATCGTGTATATAGGTTGGCTTTGGTCGAAACTCTTCAGGAGGAGTCCATGAGTTGATCCTTTGAAAATTAAACGCCAACAAAAGCTTACGTTTTGGATCAATGTTTATAGCGTTTTTCTGGCAAATTACACAGAATAGCAACATACTTTAATGTGGATACCAATTTACGCATTGTACTTCATTATTTGTCTCACAAAACGACACGTTTGGCCCCGCACAACGGGCAGGAAACCCCTCTAGTTTTTAGTAAAATGTTTAATTTTGATTGATACGTATATTAACGGGAGAAAATTGTAAACTAATTTTTTGGTCTTTGGTTGTGCTATCGAACAGATAAAGCAAAAAATATCTTGGACTTTTTTTCTTTGGGTTTATCGACATTTACAAAAGAAACAAAAAAATATAGAGGTTTAGTTTGTTCCTAACATGGTTTCAAAACAAAATGAAAAAAAACTTTTTGCTTTGATTATTGTTTCCTCACGTAGAAAAGAACACAAAGAAAAGAATTTTTTTTGGTTAAAATTTCTATATGGATAAGTAGTACAACGAACGATTGAAATCTTACTTTTAGTTCGGTTTTAATTTAGAAATTTTAAAATTAGAAGAAAAATTAACATTAAAGAAATTAATATCAATTCAATATTGCAATTGTTATATATATATATATATATATATATATATATATATATATATATATATATATATATATATATATATATATATTAATAAAAAGAAAAAACAACAAAACACCATATAGAAAAAACTAATTAAAAATAACCACAAAATATCATATAACAAAATAAATAAAAACATCAATTAATTTTTTATTTTTTATTTATTAAAGTAGATGTCTAAGATAAAGAGTTTAAACTAGTTATTAATATTCTTACCTTCAACTCTTAAAATCTATCAAGTTAAAATAACAATTAATTTATTGTTTATTTGTTTATTTATTTATTTATTTTAATTTTAATTTTTTGGGTTGCTATAATATAGGCACTTGAAAGTAACGAACCAAAGGATCAACATGCCACACTAAAAAAACGGTGAGGAAATGAGGATCATCATAAATAAGTCTGCACAAAAACTTAAAACATTCAATGTACACAGCTCATTGGACTAAGATTCAGGAGAGACGGATCACTATTGCCGGAAAAAGAAAGTAGAGGACACAAAAGCCACAACGATGGTGGCGAATGAGTTTTTCTGGTCGTATTCAGATGAACCACATGCTTCTCGCCGTCGTCAGATCCTCGCCCGATATCCCCAAATCAGACAACTCTTTGGTCCTGATCCATGGGCTCTCCTCAAGGTATTCATCTCTATCCATTCATTCACTTTCTTCTTATCATACGAGTTTTAAGCCCTATGATCAGATGAGATCATTATGATCTTTATTCAAGAAATTAACCACAGTAAAGTTTGCATGGTCGTTCTTTTATTTATCGAAAGAGTTTCTAATGATTTCTTGATGCGGTCTCATGAATATGCGTATCTGCATTTAAGGTTTCTTCAACTACTTTTTGACAATGATTTACAGTTTGGCAACACTTTTTGTATCAGGTTTTTTGTTTGTAATCGTTCTCTACGTGATTGATTCAGTTTCTTGACTTTCTTAATGAATCTGGGTTTCTGAAGTTAGGGTTTCTTGATTTTGTTTGTGTTTTGTTTAGTCTTACACTCTTTAAATTAAGTATATCCATACGTAATTAAAGAATCTTTCTTGATGTTTTTTCATAGGTAACTCTTGTTGTTTCGCTTCAACTATGCACTGCCGTATACCTCCACGACGTTGGGTGGACGAAGATACTCACGGTGGCCTACTTTTTTGGATCTTTTCTCAACCACAATCTTTTCTTAGCCATTCATGAACTAAGTCACAATCTTGCTTTCTCTAATCCGCTCTATAACCGTTGCCTTGGGATCTTCGCTAACCTCCCTATTGGGGTACCAATGTCAGTCACTTTCCAAAAATACCACCTTGAACACCACCGTTACCAAGGTGTTGACGGGGTTGACACAGACATCCCTACCATAATAGAAGCACGCCTGGTAAAAAACATGGTCACTAAATGCATATGGGTACTCTTACAACTATTCTTTTACGCCCTTAGACCATTACTAGTCAACCCTAAATGCCCTGGAAAATGGGAATTCTTGAATCTTATCATCCAAATCGGCCTTGATGCTTGTATGATTTGCTTCTCGGGGTGGAGATCTTTCTGTTACATGATCCTTTCAACGTTTGTTGGAGGTGGAATGCACCCGATGGCGGGGCATTTCATCTCCGAGCACTACATATTCGACAAGAAAGAAAGCCAGGAGACGTATTCGTATTATGGTCCGTTAAATATAATGTCATGGCACGTAGGGTACCATAACGAGCACCATGATTTTCCAAGAATCCCAGGTTGTAGGCTTCATAAAGTAAGGGAAATCGCACCCGAATACTATGAAAACTTAGATTCTTATAGGTCTTGGAGCCATGTGATATACTCTTACATAGCAGATAATTCTTTGGGACCATTTAGCAGGATGAAGAGAACCCTCTCCACAAAGAACAAGTAGGAAAATTGCATTCTTTTTAGTGTTTTCCTTACATTTTTTTAGTGATGAAGGTTACATTTCCGATGGGATCATTTTAAGAATTGGTTTGTGATATTTAATATGAAAAGTTTAAGAAATGCTTGACTTGCATATGATTCCAATTCCTTAGTCTTAAAAGGTTTATCTCGTAAAATTGAAACAAAAAACCATACAAAATCATGCATGTTTTACTAAGTAAAATCTCAAAAAGTTTGTCTTTGGTTTATGGTTAGAGTATATAATCGTGTGAATTAAAGCTAATAGCATGTAGTTTTCTATAATGAACAAAAATGTCAATTTATATTGCAAGCATAACCAAAAGATATACCTATAGCATTATATTGGAAATCTTATAGTAACTTTTTAAATAACTATGAATATATGTAGGGGTCTTTGTACGAATAATTGGTATCAATTCACTTTTAACTAATGACTTGAAATAGTTTAGTCATGTAGAATTGCATATTTATACAATCACACAATACCTGAATTTTACATGGTTCAATCAAAGTAAACTCAAATATGATCTACATCCATAACAATCTCTTTTATGTCTTCAACATACGACCATTCTTCTTTATCTCACAATTACAAAGATGAACAAATTCTCTCCCAAGACCGTACATACAAAAACTGTAACTATACATATCACTAAGATCTCAAATGATAACAAAAACTGAACAAGCCAGTTTCTTATTGTAATCCTAGTTATTATGTGTCTTCCACCGAAAGAGAATACATGTATACATATTCGTTCTCCTGTTGTAATTGATCCCCCACGATGTTCATAAACACTTCCATATGTCACTTAGTTGGACAAGTAGAACTTAATATATATCATTAGAAGCTCACTATTAGTGTTTAAGCAAATCATTTGTTTAGACGATTTCACAGACATAGTAATAATGCAAACTAAAAACAACAACCCAATATTTAATGTGGTTCACACAATCAGAATGATTGATTATATTCAAGGACGAATGAGATATATATATATATATATATATATATATATATATATATATATATATATATATATATTATCATCTCTAGTAAATGAATGGGTTTTTTTTTTGTCGTTTGTCATTTCCTCAATATTTTCACCACATGTCATTATGTAAGATTTTTTTTTTTAAATTGCTTAAATTCTACATGTCATTATGTGGTATTTTCATTTTTTTTTGTTAATAAAAAATTAATGAATTCTACTAATTAACACCTCTATTATTATATATGTAAAATATTTATTATATTAAATGTGTAGATCAACCGTATAATTAATGAAACATTTATTTTAATTAAGCTAAATATATTTTTCTAAGAGAAATTAAATATCCTCCTACTTTTTGTTTCTACAAATCCTCCTAACCAGTTAAATAGTAACATGTGTAACATTTAATTCTCATTTAATGATATTTTATATACTAATATGACACATGTTATCATTTAATTAGGTAGGAAGATGTGTAGGAATAAAAGTAGGAGGATATTTAATTTATCTTTTTCTAATGAATATAATAATAAATAGTTTGTTTTTTCTACCATTAAAAACATTTATTACGTTTTTTTGTTACATAATTAAAATAATGAAATATTATAAAACAATATTGTCAAAACTGAGATATAATAAAATATATTTTGTTAAACTTCAAAATGAAGTAGGCATTAAAAATCTCTAATCCTAATAAAAACCTCTCCTAGAATCCACTTGTCAAACTCTTAGACTACAAATCTGCCACGTGGCAATACAAGAGGCAATACACTAAAAACTTTCCTGCCTATGTACATGTACACGTTCCTTTAGTTCGTCAATCCATATCCAAATCAATTTTAAATTTCAAAATCATATAAAAATTATATCACTTTCCATGCTGAACCCGAAAAATCAGCCATTTAATTAGTGATATCAATGAATTTTTAAATTTGAATGGTGCTTTCTTTAGTTGAATACCCTAGAAATCAGGAACTAATTCAACATTTCTTTTTGTAATTTGATAACCACTATGTGAATATATGAACACTTTTAATTTGTAGAGTTTGTTTAATCCTAATTCTCCCAGGTTTCTTTCTCTCCACTCGACGGTATTGGAAATATATGGGTTTTGATTTTGAGTTTAATTACGGCTGATTTGGTTATCTTCCGTCAATATCAATACTATCTATAACCACCACCACTCACCATGTTTTCCATTGTTTGGCAGAATATTCTCAATACTATCTATAACCACCACCACTCATGTAATCGATTAACTTGGTTTAATAGATTTTAATGTGCACAACAACCATTTGATAAAATGTCTACATGAATTTGCAGTGCAGTTCTACTTTACGTTTGCTCAACATTGTTTCTACAAGTTTCATAAAGATAATCATACTTTTTCTAAAGGTACACTTTTGAAATATTTACATAGATTCTTTTCTGAATTTGTACTAGATATATGTAGCTATGCTTGAAATATTTAATGTATTTTTCCCACGAGGATGACAGGTGGTGTTCTAATAAAACTTCTGCTCAAATCAGTAAATTCTTTTTTGTTTGAAAGTTTTGCAGATTTTGCTTATGGTAATGTTTTTTTTTTTTTTGGAGTTAAACATGTTTCCTTTGTCGTTAATATTGTTAAATTATGCCTTATTTTTTAATGGTTATGAAAAACATAACTAGATGCAAGACTTCCATAGGTGACATGGCAACAAACAAGGTAAAGCATCATAATTTCATTATTTTCTATTACACCCTTGTACTAAACAAAACTCTTTTCTTTTAGCTTTTTAGTGATTTGAATAAAAAGAACATTGCTATAACTAACTGGATTTTTTGTTGTTTCGACTCATTAGCACATGAAAAAAAGGACATGAGCAAAATGTGGAGTTCTTTCTATATCATGGAATTAATTTTTCATCTGTTGAATTACTTAAATGCCCTCATGAGAAACAACAAGGCAAAATTGTCAAAGAAAAAAAAAAGATAAAATCATCATAATTTTCAACAGTGGCAACAAGACAATGTAGGATGCTGTAAAAAGTCTTTTGTTGTCGATTTTCGGTGTTTGGATATTTTGAACACCCTAACATTTAGTATTATTTTTTGTCTATATAATAATTTTACATACCAACCGTGAAAACCACGGGTTATAACCTACTTTATTTTAATAAACCCTTGTAGTACACGGGTCTCACATTTAGTTGTTTACTATTTAATACCTTAGGTTACACAAATTCAACGGATATATTTATGCTAGTAAATTGACCTAAAATTTGTACATAAAGTTATCCTCGAACACTCTAACAAATCTGGTCCATGACTAAGTTGATGTCGAATCTTATAAAGGAACTTGCCCAAAGAGGGATTGCATGCTTGGTCTAACCAACAACTATAGAGTCAAAAGATGAATCAGGCTCTACAACTTAACAATCTCTTACTTGGGGTTTGATTAGCTAACTATTGTGATCAAATCTAGAATTTTATAACCCCCATCATTCTTTAGTCTTGCATTCTCTTCAAGTACCTGGAAGGCCAGTTGAAGTCATACACATCTTTAACATCCATGTTGTCACCACTTTGGTAAATATGTATGTTAGATTCTTTCTACCAATGATTGTTTTCAAGTTTATAATCTTATCACTCATCAATTCTCGAATAAAGTGGTACCTCATCTGAATATGTTTTGTCCTTCTATGAAACAATAGATTCGTTTCCAAATTAGTTGCACTTTGGTTTTCATAATAGAGTAGACAACCTTCCTACTGCATACCCATCTCTGATAGGAAGTTTTCCAACCATATAATCTACTTGCTTTCTTTTCTTATTGTCATGTACTTTGCTTATGTGGTTGAAAGAACAACACCCTTTCGTAACTTGGACATCCATTTGATTGTAGTACCTCTAATTATGAACACATAATTGGTTGTGCTCTTTTCCAAATCCATATAGTCCTCAAATAAGCATCAACAAAATTTCCAGGATACTTATTTTCTTCTAAAACATAAAGCGGCCTCGGAAATACCTTTCAAATAACATAGCTGACACTTGACTCCTTCCCAATGTTCTCTTCCTTGATTATACATAATCCGGCTCACTATTATCACAACATAAGCAATATCTAGTCTGGTGTGCACCATAATATACATATAGCTACCAATTTCTAAGACGTAGGAAACTTTACCCATCTTTTTTTTGCCTTTCCTTCTTTGGGGACTGTTTCTTTGAGAGTCTTAACTAACTTACCAAAGGTGTACTTCAAGTTTCAGTATCTTCTATGTTGATTTTTTCAAGACCTTTCTTGATACTTTGCTTATAAAAGTTTTAGAGTTTCTGCAACTCTGTCTCTAGCTATGCTCATGCCAAATATCTACTTATGATCTTGTAACGACCAAAATTTTCACAAAATTTAAACTTTTCAAAAACAACCCATTTTAATGATGTTATTACAAAAAGGTTTTCAATACATTTATTATCAGAGTATTGCTAGAACCATGTCATAAACATAAACGCGAGGAGCGGTACGATCACGCCTTCGCCTTGCCACGGTCTCCTGAAGAACCTGAAAAACATTTAAACCACAAATGTAAGCCCGAAAGCTTTGTGAGATACCCCCAAAATACCAACCACATATATGCCCTTCCAGGCTACGACCTTCCGGTCCAAAACATATTGCCTTCCGTCCTATAACATAGTGCCTTCCGGCCCATAACATAAATAGCATACATAACATAACAGAACATAGAACAGTCATGCATATCGGGTCTACTGTGTGACTGGTCCGCCGTATCGGCCTTCAGTCCACCCTCCGTGTCTAGTCATGTCCTTGAAGTCTGCAGTGTGGTTGGTCCGCCCGCACCGAGCCTTCAACCCACCTGGTCCACTCTCTGAGTCTACAGTACGACTGGTCCGCCCGCATCAGGCATTCAGTCGGCCTGGTCCACTCTCCGAGCCTCGGCACGTTTGGTCCGCCCTCGTGGGGCCTACAACTTTTCATGGATAT